TGGGGGTCCTGACTGATGGTGGGCAGCACCTCGCACATCATCCTGGCCACACCTTGGCACACCTGGGCACACCTGGCACACCTGGGCACACCTGGGCACACCTGGCACACCTGGGTATGGGGATATGGGGTCAGTACCCAGAACTGCTCCAGTCCTGACCCATTTTTGGGGGTCCTGACCCCACTCTGGGGGTGGGCAGCACCTCCCACATCATCCTGGGCACACCTGGGGGCACCTGGGCACACCTGGGCACACCTGGGGGCACCTGGGGGGTCACAGAGTGAGAGACATGAGCGACTGAGCAAAGCCTGAACCACTCTGGGGGTCCTGAACCACTCTGGGGGTCCTCGCTGATGGTGGGCAGCACCTCGCACATCATCCTGGGGGCACCTGGGGGCACCTGGGCACACCTGGGCGCACCTGGGCGCGCCTGGGCACACCTGGGTGAACAGGGAGTGAGAGGGACATCAATGGTTGATCTCAGACTGGGCCTTTTGGGGGTCCTGAACCACTCTGGGGGTCCTCGCTGATGGTGGGCAGCACCTCACACATCATCCTGGGGGCACCTGGGGGCACCTGGGCACACCTGGGGGCACAGGGAGTGGGAGGGACATCAATGGTTGATCTCAGACTGGGCCTTTTGGGGGTCCTGACCCACTCTGGGGGTCCTGAACCACTCTGGGGGTCCTCACTGATGGTGGGCAGCACCTCCCACATCATCCTGGGGGCGCCTTGGCACACCTGGGCACACCTGGGCACACCTGGGGGCACCTGGGCACACCTGGGCACACCTGGCACACCTGGGTATGGGGATATGGGGTCAGTACCCTGGAACTGCTCCAGTCCTGACCCATTTTGGGGGTCCTGATCCCACTCTGGGCATCATCCTGAGCACACCTGGGCACACACCTGGGGCACACCTGGGCACACCTGGGCACAGCTGGGGCAATGGAGGGTGCAATGGGACGCAGTGGGGGGGTGCTGGGATGAAATGGGGGCACTGGGGGGCACTGGGGGGCACTGGGATGAAATGGGGCAGGGGGGGGCACTGGGGGGCACTGGGGGGCACTGGGGGGTACTGGGATGAAATGGGGGCACTGGGGGCACCTGGGGGCACCTGGGGACACCTGGGGGGCACTGGGGGGTACTGGGGGGCACTGGGGGGTACTGGGGGCACTGGGATGAAATGGGGCAGGGGGATGTGCTGGGGGGGGGATGGGGTCAGGATGGGGATGGGGAATTTGGGATGGGGAATTTGGGCTTGGGAATTCGGGATGGGGATTTGGGATGGGGGGTTTGGAGTTTGGGATGGAGAATTTGGGATGAGGTTTGGGGTTTGGGATGGGGTTTGGGATGGGATTTGGGATGGGGTTTGGGATTGGGATGAGGAATTTGGGATGGGGATGGAGGATTTGGGATGGGGATTCTGGGATGGGGGGTTTGGGTTTGGGATGGGGGGTCTGGGATAAGGTTTGGGATGGGGTTTGGATTTGGGACGGGGATGGAGGATTTGGGATGGGGTTTGGGATGGGGTTTGGGATGGGGATGGAGTTTGGGGTTTGGGATGCAGTTTATGTTTGGGATGGGGTTTGGGATGGGGGATTTGGGATGGGGATGGAGGATTTGGGATGGGGGTTCTGGGATGGGGAGTTTGGGATGGGGGGTTTGGGGTGAGGGGTTTGGGATGGGGAATTTGGGTTTGGGATGGGGTTTGGGATGGGGATGGAGTTTGGGGTTTGGGATGCAGTTTATATTTGGGATGGGGGTTTGGGATGGGTTTTGGGTTTGGATTGGGGATGGGGATGGGGGTTTGGGATGCAGTTTAGGTTTGGGATGAGGAATTTGGGATGGGGATGGAGGATTTGGAATGGGGGTTTTGGGTTTGGGAAGGTGGGTTTGGGATGTGGATTTGGGATGGAGATGAGGTTTAGGATGGGGTTTGGGATGGGGTTTGAGATGGGGAATTTGGGTTTGGGATGGGGGTTTGGGATGGGGGTTTTGGGATGGGGGATTTGGGATGGGGGTTTTGGGATGGGGGATTTGGGATGGGGTTTGGGATGGGGATGGGGTTTGGGATGCAGTTTATGTTTGGGATGGCGAGTTTGGGATGGGGGATTTGGGATGGGGGATTTGGGATGGGGGTTTTGGGATGGGGAGTTTGGAATGAGGAATTTGGGATGGGGTTTGGGATGGGGGATTTGGGATGGAGAATTTGAGATGGGGTTTGGGATGGGGTTTGGGGTTTGCATTTGGGATGGGGGATTTGGGATAAGGTTTGGGATGGGATTTGGATTTGGATTTGGGATGGGGTTTGGGGTTTGGGATGGAGATGGAGGATTTGGGATGGGGATTGGGATGGAGATTGGGATGGGGGATGGGGTTTGGGATGGGAGGTTTGGGATGGAGATGGGGTTTAGGATGGGGTTTGGGATGGGGTTTGAGATGGGGGTTTGGGATGGGGAATTTGGAATGGAGAATTTGGGTTTGGGAAGGGGTTTGGGATGGGGTTTGGGATGGGGATGGGGGATTTGTGATGCAGTTTATGTTTGGGATGGGTGTTTGGGATGGGGATGGGGTTTTGGGATGGGAATAGGGGGTTTAGGATGGGGTTTGGGATGGGGATGGGGGTTTGGGGTTTAGGATGTGATGTTTGGGATGGGGATGGAGGATTTGGAATGGGGTTTTGGGATAGGGAATTTGGGTTTGGGATGGGGAATTTGGGATGGAGATGGGGTTTAGGATGGGGTTTGAGATGGGGAATTTGGGTTTGAGATGGGGAATTTTGGATGGAGATGGGGTTTGGGATGGGGTTTGGGATGGGGGTTTGGGGTTTAGGATGGGGTTTGGGATGGGAGGTTTGGGATGGGGGATTTGGGTTTGGGATGGGGAATTTGGGTTTGGGATGGGGAATTTGGGATGGGGTTTGGGATGGGGGGTTTGGGATGGAGATGGGGTTTAGGATGAGGTTGAGGATGGGGTTTGGGATGGGGTTTAGGATGGGAGATTTGGGTTTGGAATGGGGATGGGGATGGAATGGGGATGGGGATGGGGTGGCCGCGATTGGGATTGGGATGTCGGAGGTGGGATGGAGATCCGGGAATGGGATCGGGATGGGGACAGCGGGGCCGGGCCCGGGGATGGGATCGGGACACGGCGGCCGGAGGCGGGATGGGGCTGGGATGGGGATGAGAATTTGGGATGGGGATGAGAATTTGGGATTCGGGATGCAGATGCCGGGTTTGGGATGCGGCTCCCGAGGCAGGGATGGGATCGGGATGGCGATGCCGGGGTTGGGATGCGAATTTGGGATTCGGGATGCGGTTGCCAGGGCCGGGATGGGGCCGGGATGGAGATGCCGGATTTGGGATGGGGATGCCGGATTTGGGATGGGGATGCCGGATTTGGGATCGGGATGCAGTTGCCAGGGCCGGGATGCGATCGGGATGGAGATGCCGGATTTGGGATGCGGAGTTGGGATTCGGGATGCGGATTTGGGATTCGGGATGCCGCTGCCGGCGGCGGGCCGGGGTTCCCGGGGGTCCCGGGGGGTCCCGGGGGGTCCCGGGGGGTCCCGGGGGGGTCGGGCCCTGCTCCTACCTGGGCTCCGAGCGGCGCTGCGGCAGCTCCGGCGGAGGGAGGCGGCCCGGCGGGGAGGGGGGCCCGGGGGGGGGTCGCTGCCGGTCGCCCCCGCACCCGTTCCGGCCCCCAGCGCGCCCCGGGCCCGCCCGAGCCCCGCGGCCGCCGCCCGCCCCCCCCCCGGTACCGACCCCCCCCGGCCGGCCCCGCGAAACGCTGCGCGGGCCCTTTAAGAGCGGCGCTGATTGACGGCGGCGCCGACCAATGGGAGCGCGCCCCGGGCCGCCGGCGGCGCCTTGGCCCCGCCCCCTCGGCGGGTGGGAGGGAGGGGCGTGGCCTGGGGGCGAGCGGCCAATGGGAGCGCGCGGGGGGCGGGGCCGCGGCGGGGGTGATGTCATCGCTCGGGGGCGGGGGCGGGCGCGCATGCGCGTTGCCATGGAGACGGCCCCGCCCCCGCGTTGCTATGGGGATGGGCCGTTCCCCGCACCCCCCCCGCGGGCGTTGCCATGGCAACGGGATCGCCCCGCGTTGCTACGGAGACGGAGCATCGCATCCGCCCCGTTGCCATGGAGACGGGAGCGCTTCCCTTCCTGGCGGTCACCATGGAGACGGAGCAGCGCATCAGCCCCGTTGCCATGGAGACGGGATTTTCCCCCCCCCCCACCGCGCGTCACCATGGAAACCGTCCCTCCACACCCCCCCCCGCGTTGCCATGGAGACGGGATCCCCCCCCAGCGTCACCATGGAAACCGCCCACACACCCCCCCCCGCGTTGCCATGGAGACGTGACCCCGCCCCCTCCCCGGTTGCCATGGAGACGGGACTGAGCATCCCTCCCCCCCTCCACCGTTGCCATGGTTACCGACCCCCCCCGTTTTCTCATTTTCCCACCCAAAAAAGGCACCTGGACCCCTCCCCCCCCAAAGCCGGGGCACGGTCACGTGACACAGGTGACACTCAAGTGACACTCAAGTGACACTCAGGTGACACGCAGGTGACCCTCGGGTGACCCTCAGGTGACACAGGTGACACTCAGGTGACACAGGTAACACAGGTGTGACACAGGTGACACACAGGTAACACTTAGGTGACCCTCAGGTGACACTCAGGTGACACTCAGGTGACACAGGTGACACAGGTGACCCTCGGGTGACACTCAGGTGACACAGGTGACACAGGTGACACTCGGGTGACACTCAGGTGACACACAGGTGACACTCAGGTGACACTCAGGTGACACTCAGGTGACACAGGTGTGACACAGGTGTGACACAGGTGACACTCAGGTGACACTCAGGTGACACAGGTGTGACACAGATGACACTCAGGTGACACTCAGGTGGCACAGGTGACCCCCCTGCAGGTGACACTCAGGTGACACAGGTGACACTCAGGTGACAAAGGTGACACAGGTGACACTCAGGTGACACAGGTGACCCACCTGGGCCACGCCTTTAAATAGCCGCCAATAAATACTGTACAGAAATCCCAAATGTACCCGGGGGGGGCGGGGGGTCCCAGAGGGGTCCGGGGGGGTCCCAGAGGGGTCCCGGGTGACTTTGGGGGGTCCCAGAGGGGTCCTGGGGGGGTATCCCAGGTGACTTTGGGGGGTCCCAGAAAGTCCCTGGAGGGTTCTGGGGGGTCCCCGGGGGGTCCCAAGTGAATTTGGGGGGTCCCAGAGGGGTCCCAGGTGATTTTGGGGGGTCCCAGAGAGGTCCCAGAGGGGTCCAGGGGGGACTTTGGGGGGTCCTGGGGGGTCCCAGAGAAGTCCAAGAGGGGTCCTGGGGGACTTTGGGGGGTCCTGAGGGTGTCCAGGGGAGACTTTGGGGGGTCCCGGGGGGGTCCCAGGTGAATTTGGGGGGTCCTGGGGGGTCCCAGAGAGGTCCCAGAGGGGTCCCAGGTGATTTTGGGGGGTCCCGGGTGGGTCCCAGGTGAATTTGGGGGGTCCCGGGTGGTCCCAGGTGATTTTGGGGGGTCCTGGGGGGTCCCAGGGGTGTCGCGGGGGGTCCCGGGGGGTTCTACCCCCTCGATTCCAGTGACCTGTGGGGAGAAATTGGGGAGGGGTCAGCGGGGTCAGCGGGGTCAGGGGGGTCAGGGGGGTCAGCGGGGTCAGGGGACTCAGGGATTTGGGCACTCGGGGATTTGGGAATTCAGGAATTTGGAAATTCAGGAATTTTGGGATTCAGGGATTTGGGCACTCAGGGATTTGGGCACTCAGGGATTTGGGGACTCAGGGATTTGGGAATTCAGGGATTATTTGGGAATTCAGGGATTTGGGCACTCAGGAATTTGGGGATTCAGGAATTTGGGAACTCAGGGATTTGGGGACTCAGGGATTTGGGAATTCAGGGATTTGGGGACTCAGGGATTTGGGGACTCAGGGATTTGGGAATTCAGGGATTTTGGGAGCCAAGAATTTGGGGATTCAGGGATTTGGGGACTCGGGGATTTGGGGACTCAGGGATTTGGGGCACAGGGATTTGGGAATTCAGGAATTTTGGGAATTTAGGGATTTGGGAATTCAGGAATTTGGGCACTCGGGGATTTGGGGACTCAGGGATTTGGGCACTCAGGAATTTGGGCACTTGGGGATTCGGGAATTCAGGGATTTGGGCACTCAGGGATTTGGGAATTCAGGGATTTTGGGACTTGGGGATTTTGGGGACTCAGAGGTTTTGGGACTCAGGGATTTGGGAATTCAGGGTTTCGGGAATTCAGGAATTTTGGGACTCAGGGATTTGGGAATTCAGGGATTTGGGAATTCAAGGATTTGGGATTTGGGTACTCAGGGATTTGGGCACTCAGATTTTGGGGTTTGGGCACTCAGGATTAGGGATTTGGGCACTCAGATTTTGGGGTTCAGGCACTCAGATTTTGGCACTCAGATTTGGGGTTCAGTTACTCAGGATTTGGGATTTGGGATTTGGGTGCTCAGGATTTGGGATTTGGGCACTCAGATTTTGGGGTTTGGGCACTCAGATTTGGGATTTGGGCGCTCAGATTTTGGGATTTGGGCACTCAGGATTTGGGCACTCAGATTTGGGATTTGGGCGCTCAGATTTTGGGGTTCAGGCACTCAGATTTTGGGATTTGGGCACTCAGATTTTGGGATTTGGGCACTCAGATTTTGGGATTTGGGCGCTCAGATTTTGGGGTTCAGGCACTCAGATTTTGGGGTTTGGGCACTCAGATTTGGGATTTGGGCACTCAGATTTTGGGATTTGGGCACTCAGATTTTGGGGTTCAGGCGCTCAGTATTTGGGTGCTCAGATTTGGGATTAGGGCACTCAGGATTTGGGATTTGGGCACTCAGGATTTGGGATTTGGGCACTCAGATTTTGGGCGCTCAGATTTTGGGATTTGGGCGCTCAGGTTTTGGTCGCTCAGATTTTGGGATTTGGGCACTCAGGATTTGGGATTTGGACACTCAGATTTTGGGGTTTGGGCACTCAGGGGTTCAGGCACTCAGATTTTGGGATTTGGGCGCTCAGGATTTGGGATTTGGGCGCTCAGATTTTGGGGATTTGGGCACTCAGATTTTGGGGTTCAGGCACTCAGATTTTGGGATTTGGACACTCAGATTTTGGGATTTGGGCACTCATATTTGGGGGTTTGGGCACTCAGGATTTGGGATTTGGGCACTCAGGATTTGGACACTCAGATTTTGGGGTTCAGGCACTCAGATTTTGGGATTTGGGCACTCAGATTTTGGGGTTTGGGCACTCAGATTTTGGGGTTCAGGCGCTCAGATTTGGGATTTGGGCACTCAGATTTGGGATTTGGGCACTCGGATTTGGGATTTGGGCGCTCAGATTTTGGGATTTGGGCACTCAGATTTTGGGATTTGGGCACTCAGATTTTGGGGTTTGGGCGCTCAGATTTTGGGGTTCGGGCACTCAGATTTTGGGATTTGGACACTCAGATTTTGGGGTTCAGGCGCTCAGATTTTGGGGTTCAGGCGCTCAGATTTTGGGATTTGGGCACTCAGATTTGGGATTTGGGCACTCAGGGGTTTAGGCACAGATTTTGGGGTTCAGGCACTCAGGATTTGGGGTTTGGGCACTCAGATTTTGGGATTTGGGCACTCAGGATTTGGGGATTTTGGCACTCAGATTTTGGGGTCTGGGTGCTTTGGGATTTGGGCGCTCAGATTTTGGGGTTCGGGCGCTCAGGGATTTCTGCACTCAGATTTGGGATTTGGGCACTCAGGGGTTCAGGCACTCAGATTTTGGGGTTCAGGCGCTCAGATTTTGGGGTTCAGGCGCTCAGATTTTGGGGTTCAGGCACTCACGAGTAGCTGTTGTGCTGCCGGCGCCGCGCCGTTCGCAGTTTCTCGAATCGCGCCTCCATCTCCTCCAGCACGCGCGGCGTGTACCGGACCACGAGTTTCACCGAGCCCTGCGCCGCCTTCAGCAGCTCCACCGCGCGCTCGTGCTGCTCCCCCTCCACGCTCTGCGCCCCAAAACACGGGATTGAACCCCAAAAACTGCCCAAAAACTGACCCGAACCCAAAAACCCACCCAAAAATGGACCAGACCCCAAAAACCCTTCAGCAGCTCCACCGCGTGCTCGTGCTGCTCCCCCTCCACGCTCTGCGCCCCAAAATATGGGATGGGACCCCAAAAACTGCCCAAAAACTGACCCGACCCCAAAAATCCACCCAGAAACTGCCCCGAACCCAAAATCCAACCCAGAAACTGCCCCAAACCCAAAATCCCACCCAAAAATGGACCAGACCCCAAAAACCCACCCAGAGACTGCCCCGGCCCCAAAATCCCACACAGAAACGACCCCAAAACCAAAATCCCAACCAAAACCAGTTCCGGCCCCAAAAACCCACCCAGAAACTGCCCCGGTCCCAAAACCCACCCCGAAACGACCCCAAAACCAAAATCCCAAGTAAAACCAGCCCCGGCCCCAAAATCTCACCCAAAAAATGCCCCAGACCCAAAAAAGCCACCCAAAAATGGACCAGACCCCAAAAACCACCCAAAGACTGCCCCAGACCCAAAAACCCACACAAAAATTGCCCCAGACCCAAAAAAGCCACCCAAAAATGGACCAGACCCCAAAAACCACCCAAAGACTGCCCCAGACCCAAAAACCCACACAAAAATTGCCCCAGCCCCGAAATCCCACCCAGAAACTGCCCCGGACCCAAAATCCCACCCAAAAATGGACCAGACCCCAAAAACCTTTCAGCAGCTCCACCGCGCGCTCGTGCTGCTCCCCCTCCACGCTCTGCGCCCCAAAATATGGGATGGAGCCCCAAAAACTGCCCAAAAACTGACCCGACCCCAAAAATCCACCCAGAAACTGCCCCGGCCCCAAAATCCAACCCAGAAACTGACCCGAACCCAAAATCCCACCCAAAAATGGACCAAAACCCTTCAGCAGCTCCACCGCGCGCTCGTGCTGCTCCCCCTCCACGCTCTGCACGCCAAAACACGGGATTGAACCCCAAAAATAATCCAAAAACTGACCCGAACCCAAAATCCCACCCAGAAACTGCCCCGGCCCCAAAATCCCACCCAAAAATGGACCAGACCCCAAAATCCCACCCAAAAATGGGCCAGACCCCAAAAACCCTTCAGCAGCTCCACCGCGCGCTCGTGCTGCTCCCCCTCCACGCTCTGCACCCCAAAACACGGGATTGAACCCCAAAAACTGCCCCAAAACTGACCCGACCCCAAAAACCCACACAAAAATGCACCAGACCCCAAAAACCCTTCAGCAGCTCCACCGCGCGCTCGTGCTGCTCCCCCTCCACGCTCTGCGCCCCAAAATATGGGATGGAGCCCCAAAAACTGCCCAAAAACTGACCCAAACCCAAAATCCCACCCAAAATCTGACCCAGCCCCAAAATCCCACCCAAAAATGGACCAGACCCCAAAAACCCACCCAGAAACTGCCCCGACCCCATAAAACACCCAAAAACTGCCCCAAGATTACTCCAAACCCCCATTTAACCACCCAAAACCCCAAAATCCCGGGAATTCTCCCCAAATCCTCACCACACCGTTGACACTCAGCAGTTGGTTGTCCTGTTCGAATCCCCATATCCCACCCAAACCCCCCAAAACCGCCCCAAAACCCCAATTTAACCCTTCAAACACCAATTTACTCATTCCAAACCTCCAAATCCCAAATTTAACCACCCAGAAAACCCAATTTAACCCTTCAAACCCCAATTTAACCACCCCAAACCCCCAATTTAACCACTCCAAAGTACCCAAAACCCCAATTTAACCACCCAAAATCCCAATTTAACCCTTCAAACCCCAATTTAACCACACCAAAGCGCCAATTTAACCCCTCAAACCCCAATTTAACCCTTCAAACCCCCAATTTAACCCTTCAAACTCCAATTTAACCCTTCCAAACCCCCAATTTAACCCTTCAAACCCCAATTTACCCATTCCAAACCCCCAAAACCCCAATTTAACCACCCAAAACCCCCAACTTAACACTTTAAACCCCAATTTAACCCTTCAAACCCCAATTTAACCACCCAAAACCCCAAAATCCCGGGAATTCTCCCCGAATCCTCACCACGCCGTTGACGCTCAGCAGTTGGTCGCCGCGTTTGAGGCCCCATATCCCACCCAAACCCCCCAAAACCGCCCCAAAACCCCAATTTAACCACTCCAAAGTACCCAAACCCTCCGTTTTTCCACACAAACCCCCAAAATCCCTGGAATTGTCCCCAAATCCTCACCACGCCGTTGACGCTCAGCAGCTGGTCGCCGCGCTTGAGGCCCCATATCCCACCCAAACCCCCCAAAACCGCCCCAAAACCCCAATTTAACCACTCCAAAGTACCCAAAACCCCAATTTAACCACCCAAAATCCCAATTTAACCCTTCAAACACCAATTTAACCACTCAAACCCCAACTTAACCCTTCCAACCCCAATTTAACCACTCCAAAGTACCCAAAACCCCAATTTAAACACCCAAAATCCCAATTTAACCACTCCAAAGTACCCAAAACCCCAATTTAACCACCCCAAAATCCCAATTTAACCACTCCAAAGTACCCAAAACCCCAATTTAACCACCCCAAAATCCCAATTTAACCCTTCAAACCCCAATTTAACCACCCCAAACCCCAATTTAACCACTCCAAAGTACCCAAAACCCCAATTTAACCACCCAACATCCCAATTTAACCCTTCAAACCTCAATTTAACCACTCCAAAGTACCCAAAATCCCGGGAATTCTCCCCAAATCCTCACCACGCCGTTGACGCTCAGCAGCTGGTCGCCGCGTTTGAGGCCCCAAAACCCCAATTTAACCACCAAAAACCCCAATTTAACCCTTCAAACCCCAATTTAACCCTTCAAACACCAATTTAACCCCACAAAATCCCAATTTAACCCTTCAAACCCCAATTTAACCACACCAAACCCCAAAATCCCGGGAATTCTCCCCAAATCCTCATCACGCCGTTGACGCTCAGCAGTTGGTCGCCGCGTTTGAGGCCCCATATCCCACCCAAACCCCCAAAACCGCCCCAAAACCCCAATTTAACCCTTCAAACACCAATTTACTCATTCCAAACCTCCAAATCCCAAATTTAACCACCCAAAAAACCCAATTTAACCCTTCAAACCCCAATTTAACCACCCCAATACCCCAATTTAACCACTCCAAAGTACCCAAACCCTCCATTTTTCCACACAAAACCCCAAAATCCCGGGAATTTCCCCCAAATCCTCACCACGCCGTTGACGCTCAGCAGTTGGTCGCCGCGTTTGAGGCCCCATATCCCACCCAAACCCCCCAAAACCGCCCCAAAACCCCAATTTAACCCTTCAAACCCCAATTTAACCACTCCAAAGTACCCAAAACCCCAATTTAACCACTCCAAAGTACCCAAAATCCCAGGAATTCTCCCCAAATCCTCACCACGCCGTTGACGCTCAGCAGCTGGTCGCTGTGTTTGAGGCCCCCATGGCAGTTTGCCACCCCATATCCCACCCAAACCCCCCAAAACCACCCCAAAAATCCCAATTTAACCCTTCAAACACCAATTTAACCACTCCAAAGTACCCAAAACCTCCATTATTCCACCCAAAATCCCGGGAATTCCCCCCAAATCCTCACCACGCCGTTGACGCTCAGCAGCTGGCCACCGCGTTTGAGGCCCCATATCCCATCCAAACGCCCCAAAACCACCCCAAAATCCCAATTTAACCACTCCAAAGTACCCAAAACCTCCATTTTTCCACACAAAACCCCAAAATCCCAGGAATTTTCCCCAAATCCTCACCACGCCGTTGACGCTCAGCAGCTGGTCGCCGCGTCTGCGGCCCCATATCCCACCCAAACCTCCCAAAACCACCCAAATACCCCAATTTAACCATTCCAAAGTAACCAAAACCCCAATTTAACCACCCAAAATCCCAATTTAACCCTTCAAACCTCAATTTAACCACCCCAAAATCCCAATTTAAACCCTCAAACCCCAATTTAACCAGCCCAAAATCCCAATTTAACCCTTCAAACCCCAATTTACCCATTCCAAAACCCCAAAACCCCAATTTAACCACCCAAAATCCCAATTTAACCCTTCAAACACCAATTTACCCATTCCAAACCCCCAATTTAACCACTCCAAAGTACCCAAAACCCCAATTTAACCACCCCAAGCCCCAATTTAACCACTCCAAAGTACCCAAAATCCCGGGAATTCTCCCCAAATCCTCACCACGCCGTTGATGCTCAGCAGTTGGTCGCCGCGTTTGAGGCCCCATATCCCACCCAAACCCCCCAAAACCGCCCCAAAACCCCAATGTAACCATCCAAAACCCCAATTTAACCCTTCAAACCCCGATTTAACCACACAAAATCCCAAAATCCCGGGAATTCTCCCCAAATCCTCACCACGCCGTTGACGCTCAGCAGTTGGTCGCCGCGTTTCAGGCCGCCGTGGCAGTTTGCCACCCCATATCCCACCCAAACCCCCAAAACCACCCCAAAAATCCCAATTTAACCCTTCAAACACCAATTTAACCACTCCAAAGTACCCAAAACCTCAATTTTTCCACACAAACGCCCAAAATCCCGTGAATTTCCCCCAAATCCTCACCACGCCGTTGACGCTCAGCAGCTGGTCGCCGCGTTTGAGGCCGCCATGGCAGTTTGCCACCCCATATCCCACCAAAACCCCCCAAAACTGCCCCAAAACCCCAAATTAACCCTTCAAACCCCAATTTAACCACCCAAGAACCCCAAAATCCCGGGAATTGTCCCCAAATCCTCACCACGCCGTTGACGCTCAGCAGCTGGTCGCCGCGTTTCAGGCCGCCGTGGCGGTCGGCGACGCCGCCGGGGATGACGCGGGAGATGTAGATGGGCGAGTTCTGCTCTTTGCCCCCCATGATGTTGAAGCCCAAACCCTCCTCGGTCTTGGGCAGCTCCACCACCCGCGGGTGCGCGTGGCCCTCGCTGGCCGCGAACGCCGCCACCGTGGCCTGGGGACAGCGGGGGGACAGTGGGGACATTGGGGGTATTGGGGACATTGGAGATGTTGGGGACCTTTGAGGACATTGGGGACATTGAGGGGATTGGGATCATTGGGATCATGGGGGACATTGGGGACGTTGAGGACATTTGGAGGATTGGGGACACTGGGGACACTGGGGGGATTTGGGGGAATTGGGGACATTGGGGACATTGAGGGGATTGGGGACGTTGGGGACGTTGGGGATATTTGGGGACATTGAAGGAATTGGGGACACTGAGGACCTTGGGGGCATTGAGGACATTTGGAGGATTGGGAACATTGGGGACATTGGGGACATTGGGGATGTTGGGGACATTGGGGGGATTGGGGACATTGGGGACATTGGGGACATTTGAGGATATTGGGGATATTGGGGGTATTGGGGGCTTTGGGGACATTGAGGGCATTGGGGACATTGGAGACGTTGGGGACATTGGGGACATTTGGGGATGTTGGGGCCGTTTGGGACATTGAGGGATTTGGGGACATTGGGGATGTTGGGGACATTGGGCAGCTCCACCACCCGCGGGTGCGCGTGGCCCTCGCTGGCCGCAAACGCCGCCACCGTGGCCTGGGGACAGCGGGGGGACAGTGGGGACAGCGGGGACATTGAGGGGATTGGGGACATTGGGGACATTGGAGACATTGGGGACATTTGGGGGATTGGGGTCATGGGGACATTGGTGACATTGGGGGATTTGGGGACATTGGGGACATTGGGGACATTGGTGACATTGAGAGGATTGGGAACATTGGGGGATTTGGGGACATTGGGGACATTGAGGGGACTGGGGACATTGGGGACATTGGAGACATTGGGGACATTGGGGACACTGGGGATACTGGGGGATACTGGGGACATTGGTGGACATTAGGGACTTTTGGGGGATTGGGGTCATGGGGTCATGGGGGTCATTGAGGGGTTTGGGGACATTGAGGGAGATTGGGGACATCGGGGACATTGGAACATTGGGAGGATTGGGGACATTGGAGACATTGGGGACATTTGGGGGATTGGGGTCATGAGGGTCATTGGGGTGTTTGGGGACATTTGGGGGATTGGGGACATTGGGGACGTTGGGGACATTGAGGGGATTGGGGACATTTGGGACATTGGGGATATTTGGGGACATTGAAGGAATTGGGGACATTGAGGACATTTGGAGGATTGGGGACATTGGGGACATTGGGGGTATTGGGAGCTTTGGGCATGTTGGGGACATTGGGGACGTTTGGGGGGTTGATGATGTTGGGGTCATTTGGGACATTTGGGGATGTTGGGGCCGTTGGGGACATTGGGGACATTGAGGGATTTGGGGACATTGGGGACATTGGGATCATGGGGGACATTGATGACATTGGGAGGATTTGGCACATTGGGGACATTGGGGACATTGGGGCTGTTTGGGTCATTTGGGGACATTGGGGAACGTTGGTGACATTGGGGTCATGGGGGTCATTGAGGACATTGCAGGATTTGGGGACGTTGGGGACATTGAAAAGAATTGAGGACATTGGGGACACTGGAGGGATTGGGGGATTTGGGGACATTGGGGACATTGGGGACTTTGGGTCATTTGGGGACATTTGGGGACATTTGGGGTCATTTGGGGACATTGAATTGTTTTGGGGTCCTGGGTGAGTTTTAGGGTCCCCAGGGTGGTTTTGGGCTCCCCGGGGACATTTTGGGGTCCTTGGAGGGGGGTTAGGGTGGTTTTGGGGTTCCGGGGGTGTTTTTGGGGTCCCAGGATGGTTTTTGGGGTCCCTAGCAGATTTTAGGGGTCCCAGGGGTGTTTTTGGGGTCCGGGTGGGTTTTTGGGGTCCCCTGGGGGTTTTTTTGGGGTTCCTGGGGGGGATTTGGGTTCCCTGGGGGATTTTTTGGGGGGTCCTGGAGGGGTTTTTGGGGTCCCTGGGTGGGTTTTGGGTTCCCTGGGGTTTTTTTGGGGTCCTGGGGTGGTTTTTGGGGTCCGGGGCTGTTTTTGGGATCCCTGGGGAGTTTTTGGGGTCCCCTGGGGGAGTTTTTGGGGTCCCAGGTGGGTTTTTGGGGCCGTGGTTGTTTTTGGGGTCCCAGGGTGTTTTTGGGGTACCTTGGCCGTGGCGTGGGCGCGGATTTCGGGGCTCCCCGCGATGTCCAGGGTGTCGTAGAGCTGCTCGTACACCTGGGGGGACCCCGGGGCTGTTGGGGGGGACCCCAAAACCCCAAAACCCCCCGAGAGGCACCTGCAGAGATCTGGGGGGACCCCGGGGGGACTGGGGGGTCCCAGGAAGGATTTGGGGGAAGGGTTGGGGAGTTTTTGGGGTGGATTTGGGGTTTTTTTGGGGTTTTTTGGGTGCATTTGGGGGCTTTGACATGGATTTGGAGTGGATTTGGGGGTTTTGTGGCAGATTTGGGTTTTTTTGGGGGTGAATTTGGGGTTTTCTGAGGTGGATTTGGATTTTTTGGGGGTTTTTGGGGTGGGTTTGGGGTTAATTGAGCTGGATTTGGGTTTTTTTGGGGGGGTTTTGGGTAGATTTGGGATTTTTTTAGGGTAGATTTGGGGTTTTTTGAGGTGGATTTGGGTTTTTCGGGGTGGATTTGGGGTTTTGGGTGGATTTGGGGTTTTTGGGGAGGATTTGGTTTTTTGAGGTGAATTTGGGGGTTTTGGGGGGTTTTGAGGTGGATTTAGGGTTTTTTGGGGGGTTTTCAGGGTGGATTTGGGTTTCGGGGAGGATTTGGGGTTTTTGGGGGATTTTCAGGGTGGATTTGGAGTTTTTGGGATGGATTTGGGTTTTTTGGGGGTTTTCAGGGTGGATTTGGGGTTTTTTGATGGATTTGGGATTTTTTGGGGTTTTTTAAGATGGACTTGGGGTTTTTTTGGGGGTTTCGGGGTGGATTTGGGTTTTGGGGGGTTTTCAGGGTGGACTTGGGGTTTTTTGAGATGGATTTGGGTTTTTTGAGGGTTTTCAGGGTGGATTTGGGGTTTTTTGAGATGGATTTGGGTTTTTGGGTTTTTTTGGGGTGGATTTGGGGTTTTTGGGGGGTTTTCAGGGTGGATTTGAGTTTTTGGGATGGATTTGGGTTTTTTGGGGGGGGTTTGGGTGGATTTGGGTTTTATGAGATAGATTTGGGCTTTTTTGGGGTTTTCAGGATGGATTTGGGGTTTTTTGGGGGTTTCGGGGTGGATTTGGGTTTTTTGGGGGTTTCGGGGTGGTTTTGGGTTTTTTGAGATGGATTTGGGATTTTTTGGGGTTTTTTTGAGATGGATTTGGGATTTTTTTGGGGTTTCGGGGTGGATTTGGGGTTTTTTCATGGATTTGGGTTTTTTGGGGGTTTTCAGGGTGAATTTGGGTTTTTTTGAGATGGATTTGGGGGGTTTTGGGGTTTTCGGGATGGATTTGGGTTTTTTTGAGGTGGATTTGGGGTTTTTTTGAGGTTTTTTGAGATGGATTTGGGATTTTTTTGGGGTTTTTTGAGATGGCTTTGAGTTTTTTGAGGGTTTTCAGGGTGGATTTGGGGTTTTTTGATGGATTTGGGATTTTTTGGGGTTTTTTTGAGATGGATTTGGGATTTTTGGGGTTTTTTTGAGATGGATTTGGGATTTTGGGGTTTTTTGAGATGGATTTGGGATTTTTAGGGGGTTTTCAGGGTGGATTTGGGATTTTTTGGGGGTTTTGGGGTGGATTTGGGGTCACCTCGCGGATGGCGGAGCAGAACTTGCTCTGCAGGACCCTCTGCAGCGCCTGCAGCTTTTGGGGGGGCAGCTCCCCACTGCGCTGGAGCCGCTCCAGCAGCTCCACGGCCCGGGACACGTCTGGGGGACCCCAAATCAGCCCAAAATCACCCCAAAATCACCCCCGAATTCAGCCCAACATCGCCCCACAGTCACCCCAAAATCAGCCCAAAATCGTCCCAGAGTCACCCCAAAATCAAACCCAAATCAGCCCCAAATCACCCCAGAGTCACCCCAACATTGCCCCAGGGTCACCCCAAAATCACCCCCAGAATCACCCCAATATCGCCCCAAAATTACCCAAAAATCACCCCCAGAGTCACCCCAAAATTACCCCCAAATTCAGCCCAACATCGCCCCACAGTCACCCCAAAATCAGCCCAAAATCGTCCCAGAGTCACCCCAAAATCAAACCCAAATCAGCCCCAAATCACCCTCAGAGTCACCCCAATATCGCCCCAAAATTACCCAAAAATCACCCCCAAATTCAGCCCAACATCGCCCCACAGTCACCCCAAAATCAAACACAGAATCACTTCAAAATCACCCCCAGAGTCACCCCAAAATCACCCCCAAATTCAGCCCAAAATCGCCCCAGGGTCACCCCAAAATCAACCCTCAGTCACCCCAAAATCAAACACAGAATCACCCCAATATCGCTCCAGGGTCACCCCAAAATCACCCCAAAATCACCCCAAAATGATCCAAAAATCACCCTCAGAGTCACCCCAAAACAGCCCCAGAGTCACCCCAAAATCACCCCCAGAATTATCCCAAAACACCCCAAAATAACCCCAGAGTCACCCCAAAATCAACCCCAAATTATCCCAAAAATCACCCCAAAACAGCCCCAAAATCACCCCAAAATCGCCGCAGTCACCCCAAAATCACCGCGTTCACCCCAAAATCACCGCAGTCACCCCAAAATCACCGCAGTCACCCCAAAACAGCCCCAGAACACCAAAATCACCCCAAAACCACCCCAAATCACCACCCTGCACCCCCAAACAGCCTCATTGCAGCCCCGCCCCCCAAAACTGCTCATTGTGCCCCCAAACCAACCCCAAAACACCCCAAAATTTCCCCCTGCACCCCAAAATTCACCCCCTGCCCCTCATTAGCCCCCCCAAACCCCCAAATTCCCCCAAAATTCCCCATTTAACCCCCCCCAACCGCCCTTTGGCGCCCCCTCCCCCACTCCCGACCCCCCTCAGCCTCTCCCCCTCCCCTCCCCCACCTTCCGAACCCCCAAAAATCCCCAAAATCCCCCCAAAAATCCCCAAAATCCCCCAAAATCCGCCCGTACCCCGTTCCAGCCCCAGCGCGTCCCCGCTCAGCGCTGCCATCTTCGCCCGGCCACGCCCACCGCTTGGCCACGCCCCTTTGGCACAAACCACGCCCCTTTCCGCGCAAACCACGCCCCCTTTCTGCACAAACCACGCCCCTTCTCGCTTAGGCCAATCCCACCCCCAAAAAAACCCCAAAACCGCGTGTATTCTCCAATAAAAAAACCCTCAAATTAAACCAAAAACCCCCAATCCCACCCCAAAAAAAACCCCCAAAATTCCGTGTATTCTCCAATAAAAAAACCCAAATTCCACCAAAACCTACAAATCCCACCCCAAAAAAAGACCCCAAAACTCCCTTTATTTTCCAATAAAATACCCTCAAATTCAACCACAAACCCCCAATCCCACCCCAAAAACCCCCAAATTCACCGCATCGCCCTCCCCATTTCTCATCCCAAAACCCCTCAAAACTCCATTTATTTTTCCAATAAAACCCCTCAAATTCAACCAAAACCCCCAATCCCACCCCCAAAAAAAATCCCCCAAAACTCCATTTATTTTCTAATACAAAAAACCCAAATTCAAGCAAAAAACCCCCAATTTCGCCGCATCGCCTTCCCTATTTCCCATCCCAAAAACCCCCAAAACTCCGTTTATTTTCCAATAAAAAACCCCAAAATTCAACCAAAAACCCCCCCCAAAAAAACCCCAAAACTCCATTTATTTTTCCAATAAAAAACCCCCAAATTAAACAAACCCCCCCCCCCAAAAAAACCCCAAAACTCCACTTATTTTCCAATAAAAAAATCCCAAAACCCCCCCAAAAAACCCCCAAAACCCCATTTATTCTCCACTAAAAGCCCTTTATTAATTAGCCGCTCACTCCAGCGGCGGCTCCAGCAGGTAGCCGTTCTCCGCGCCCAGGTACCCATCGGCCGCCGCCATCCCCTCCGCGGCCCCGAACATCTCCGCGTCCCCTCCGGGTCCCGCCTCTCCTCCCTCCGCTGCCCCGGTGCCGGTGCCGCTCCCGGTTCCGCTCCCGGCCGCTCTCTCGTCGCGCCGCTCCCGCTCCCGTTTGTGCTCCCGGTCGCGCTCCCGCTCCCGTTCCCTCCTCCTCTCCCTCTCCCGGTGCCCGCGGCGCCGCTCCCGTTCCCTCTCCCGTTTCTCCGCCGCCTCCCCCGCCATCCCCTCGGTGGCTCCGGGCTCCCCGCCGCTCCCTCCGAGCTCCTCGGGTGCTTCCAGCGCTTCCAGCGCCGCCTCGTCCTTCTTGTCGCGGTCGCGGTCGCGTTTTCGGTCCCGGGACCGCGAGCGGCGTTTGCGGTCGCGGTCGCGGTCTCGGTCTTTGCTGCGGTCGCGGCTCCCGCCCCGTTTCCGTTCCCGCTCGTCCTTCTCGCGGCTCCGCGTCCGCCGCCGCCGCTCCCGGGAGCGCGAACGGCGCCGGTCCCGTTCCCGAGAGCGCTCCCGGCGGTCCCGCTCCCGCTCCCGCTCCCGGTCCCTGCGGGGGCGGCGGCGCTCAGGACCCATTCCAGGGGTCCCTGAGGCAGTTTGGGGGGTCCCAAGGGGGTCCCTGAGGTGTCCTGGGGGTCCCTAACTCAATTTAAGGGGTCCCTGAGCCAATTTAGGGGGTCCCTGAGCCAGTTTAGGGGGTCCCTGAGCCAATTTAGGGGGTCCCTGAGCCAGTTTAGGGGGTCCCAAGGTGGTCCCTGAGGTGTCCTGGGGGTCCGAGAGCCAAGTTAGGGGGTCCCTGAGCCGGTTTAGGGGGTCCCAAGGGGGTCTCTGACCCATTCCAGGGGGTCCCTGAGGCAGTTTAGGGGGTCCCAAGGGGGTCCCTGAGGTGTCCTGGAGGTCCCAGAGCCAATTTAGGGGGTCCCTGAGCCAAGTTAGGGGATCCCTGAGCCAATTTAGGGGGTCTCTGAGCCAAGTTAGGGGGTCCCAAGGGGGTCCCTGAGGTGTCCTGGGGGTCCCAGAGCAAATTTAGGGGGTCCCTGAGCCAAGTAGGGGATCCCTGAGCCAATTTAGGGGGTCTCTGAGCCAAGTTAGGGGGTCCCAAGGGGGTCCCTGAGGTGTCCTGGGGGTCCCAGAGCAAATTTAGGGGGTCCCTGAGCCAAGTAGGGGGTCCCAGAGCCAATTTAGGGGGTCCCAAGGGGGTCTCTGACCCATTCCAGGGGGTCCCTGAGCCAGTTTAGGGGGTCCCTGAGCCAATTCAGGGGGTCCCAAGGGGGTCCCTGAGGTGGCCCGGGGGTCCCTGAGGTGACACAGTGGGTCCTTGGGGTCCCCTGTCCCCTCCCCGGGGGTCCCAAGGGTGACAAAGGGGTCCCGGTGCCCATCCCAGGGGTCCCAGGGGTGACAAAGGGGTGTCAGTGACAATCCCGGGGGTCCCAAAGGGGTCCCACGGGTGACAAAGGGGTCCCGGTGCCCATCCTGGGGCCCCGGTGCCCATCCTGGGGGTCCCAGTGCCCACCCCGGGGGTCCCGGTGCCCACCCCGGGGGTCCCAAAGGTGACAGTGACAATCCTGGGGGTCCCAGTGCCCACCCCGGGGGTCCCGGTGCCCACCCCGGGGGTCCCGGTGCCCATCCCGGGGGTCCCGGTGCCCACCCCGGGGGTCCCAAGGGTGACAAAGGGGTCCCGGTGCCCACCCCGGGGGTCCCGGGGGTCCCCACTCACCGCTCGTCGTAGCGGGAGGTGTCGTCCCTCCCCGAGTGACGGATGTTGACGTCGGCTCCGCCGCGCCGGGTGCCCCCCAAACCTCCCCCTGTGGGGACACGGGGGTCAGGGACCCCAAAACTGACCCCAAACTGACCCCTGACCCCAAACCGACCCCCCAAACCTCCCCCTGTGGGGACACGGGGGTCAGGGACCCCAAAACTGACCCCAAACTGACCCCTGACCCCAAACTGACCCCCCAAACCCAAAACTGACCCCCCAAACCTCCCCCTGTGGGGACACGGGGGTCAGGGACCCCAAACTGACCCCAAACTGACCCCCAAACCTCCCCCTGTGGGGACACGGGGGTCAGGGACCCCAAAACTGACCCCAAACTGACCCCCCAAACCTCCCCCTGTGGGGACACGGGGGTCAGGGACCCCAAAACTGACCCCAAACCCCAAACTGACCCCAAAACTGACCCCCCAAAACCGACCCCTGACCCCAAACTGACCCAAAAACCCAAAACTGACCCCAAACCCCAAATTGACTCCAAAACTGACCCCCCACAACTGACCCCTGACCCCAAACTGACCCCCCAAACCTCCCCCTGTGGGGACACGGGGGTCAGGGACCCCAAAACTGACCCCTGACCCCAAACTGACCCCTATCCCCAAACTGACTCCAAACCCCAAACTGACCCAAAAAACCAAAACTGACCCCAAAACTGACCCCAAACCCCAAACTGACCCCAAAACTGACCCCTGACCCCAAACTGACCCCAAACCCCAAACTGACCCCCCAAACCCAAAACTGACCCCCCAAACCTCCCCCTGTGGGACATGGGGGTCAGGGACCCCAAAACTGACCCCAAACTGACCCCTGACCCCAAACTGACCCCAAAACCCAAAACTGACCCCAAAACTGACCCAAAACCCCAAACTGACCCCCCAAAACTGACCCCTGACCCCAAACTGATCCCCCAAACCCAAAACTGACCCCCCAAAACTGACCCCTGACCCCAAACTGACCCCCCCAAACCTCCCCCAGGGGGACACGGGGGTCAGGGACCCCAAAACTGACCCCTAACCCCAAACTGACCCCCCAAACCCAAAACTGACCCCCCAAAACTGACCCCTGACCCCAAACTGACCCAAAAACCCCAAACTGACCCCAAAACTGACCCCCCAAAACAGACCCCAAACCCCAAACTGACCCCAAAACCCCAAATTGACTCCAAAACTGACCCCCCAAAACTGACCCCTGACCCCAAACTGACCCAAAAACCCACAACTGATCCCCCAAACCCAAAACTGACCCCCCAAAACTGACCCCTGACCCCAAACTGACCCCCCCAAACCTCCCCCAGGGGGACACGGGGGTCAGGGACCCCAAAACTGACCCCAAACTGACCCAAAAACCCAAAACTGACCCCAAAACTCACCCCAAACCCCAAAGTGAGCCAAAACTGACCCCAAACCCCAAATTGACTCCAAAACTGACCCCCCAAAACTGACCCCTGACCCCAAACTGACCCAAAAATCCACAACTGACCCCCAAAAATGGAGGGGGGCACTGACCAAACCCCAAAAAATAGGAGGAAGCACCAAAAAAACCCCAAAAAATGAGAGGAAGCACCAAAAAACCCCCCAAAAATACAAATACAAATACATTCCAGACCCCGATTTCGAGGCGAAAGAGCCCCGAATTGGGGGTGCGGCCCCGCTGTCGGCCCGGCGGACCCCCCGGATTTTGGGGAGGGGGTTAATTTGGGGAGGGGGCTCACCCAGGCGCCGGGGCCGCCAGCCCTTGACGGTCCTGCCCCGCTCCACGTCCACCAGCACCCGGCGCCCGTCGATCTTCTTCCCGTCCGCGTGTTTGTAGGCGGCTGTAAAATATTTTGGGGAGGGGTCCCGAGGTGGGGGGGAAAAATGGGGGGGAGGGTGGGGGTCAGCCACAGTGGGGTCACATCCGCCCGCCCCCCCCTCCCCAAAAAAATCAGCTCCTTCCCCACCCCACACCCCAAAAAAAGGACAAAATTACCCAAAATCTCATGTGGGTTTTGTGGGGAGAAGAATTTGGGTGGGGGGGGTTAAAGGGGTGTGACCCCCCCCCCCAAAAAAATGATATGGCTGTAAAGGAAAGGGTTAAGGACTGTGAGACCCCCCCCCAAAAAAATAATTAACCCCACCCCAAAACCGACAGCACAAAATTTGGGGGTTTCACCTGTTTATGGACCCCCCCCCCACCCCAATTTGGGGTTTTTTTTGGGGGGGGGTCGTCACCTCCATCTGCAGATTGACCCCCCCCACCCCAAAAATGTAATTTGGGGGGGGGTCAGCACCTTCACCTGGATATTGACCCCCCCCAAAACCCATAAATAAACCCCCCCACCTTATTTTGGGGGGGTCCTTTACCTGATTATTGACCCCCCCTCACTTTAATTT